ATTGTTTTCCATATTTTCCATGAAAAAAAGTGAAAAATAGTGAAGAATAGTGTTTTCACTCTTTTAATTTTTCATTATTTTAGTGAAAAATAGTGAGACAAAAACTGAACAAATAGTGAACGCATAGTCACATAGTGGAAAATGAAGACTTTTAGAAACACTATTGAACACCAATAAAAAGAACAATGAACAATAAGGCAAACAGTGGAATGTCAATAGTTCCGCTTGCTTTCCACTATTTTCACTAATTTTTCATTAACAAAGGAGTTGGGCGTGGACACTCCGGACCTCGTGCTGCAGTGGCTCCGAGATGTGTATCGGAGACGAGGACTGGCCAGCTGTGGCCGTGTTGTCCAGTCCCTCCGCCGCACTGCTGACTACTTTCGGTGATTTTGTGACGGCGACACGGCTTTCCTCGCAGCCACCCGGCAAGCCCAGACGTTCTGCGGCTCGTCGTGGTCCTGTTGCTCCTGATGGTTCTCCTGGTGAGCTCTCTGGTGCATGAAGCAAGAACGATGAAGCTCTGCCCCTGCTCCTAGCAACAAGCGTGTTGCTCCAGGCGAGGCACCTGGTGACTCCAGCCTTGGCTCAAGCGAGGCCTCCAGCACATTTTGTGCACGGCCAAGGTCGGCTTGGGTTGTTGTCCTCGATGGCGAGCGTGGTTTTGCTCTCAATGTGGATGGTGAGGATCAGTTTTCACATCGTGCGGAGGTGGATGGACTGATCGCATAAGATATTGAACGCCAATTAAAATTACACCAGCGAAGACCCCAAACAGAATGCATCGAATCATACCGGTTCAAGTTGGAATGTGTTGGATCCCAATCTGGCTTCGCCAGCAGATTTTGCGAAGAAGAATTAGGCATTGGGCGATATATTTCTGCGAAAGAAGAGTGGGTGGTGGGATTCAAGCATGTGGGAAGGTTTTTTGGGAGGGTCCGGCCAGGGAGCATCGTTCGGAGGATCTTGCTGCAACACCATGCACGGAAAACATGCACATTTCTCCCGCAACTGCCACATTGTTGCCGCCTTTGCAAAACAGGATACCTGGCCTCTGCTGCAAACGTTCGCGGACGAAGTGCAAAAGAGCTTGGTGTTCGCTTCGGTTGGCTGTCGGACGGGAAGAAAACGACAACTTTGCCGTGCATGTTTGGCAAGAAAGGTAGGAAGGGATTTGTCGGCTTACAAGGCAAACAAAAAGCTTTCTTAACACGGAGCCATTCACGTTTTCTCTGCTGACCGAACGAAGAGCATTGTCCACAGGATTTTGTTGCCGCAGGAACCGCACAAAGAAAAAACGCAACGTCTCCACAATTTTCATAACATTACCGTTCTGCAAAACAGGATTCTTTGCCTCCGCTGTAGACATTGGAGGAAGAAGCACAACAGAGGTTGCTATATGGGTCGGTTGGCTGTCACACGGGAAAAAAGTGTGAACTTTGCCGCGCAATTTTGGCGAAAAGAAGCGCGCACAGGGGTGCGTCGGCTTACAACACAAAACAAAAATCTTTCTTTACACGGAACCATTCACGACTTGTTCCGCAGACCGAACGAAGATCCATACAATCTGTAACTACCGCAGAAACCACGCACGAAAAAAAACACACAACATTGCCGTTTTGCAAGACAGGATATGTGGCCTCTGCCGTAAACGTTTGTGGAAGAAGCGCGAAACAGGTTGGTATACGGATCGGTTGGCTGTCGCACGGGAAAAAAATGTGAACTTTGCGGCTCAATTATGGCGAAAAGAAGAGCAAATGGGTTTGTCGGCTTACAAGGCAAACAAAAACCTTTCTTTACACGGAACCATTCACGATTTTGTCCGCAGACCGAACGAAGATCCACAGGATCTTGCTGCCGCAGCAACCACGCACGGCAAAAACACGCAACATTGCCGTTTTGCGAGACAGGATATGTGGCCTCTGCTGTAGACGTCTGTGGAAGAAGCGCAAAACAAGTTGGCAAACAGATCGGTTGGCTGCCACACGGAAAAGGTAGGAACTTTGCCGCGCAAACTTGGCAAAAAGAAACGCAAATGGGTTTGTCGGCTTACATCGCAAACACAAATCTTTCTTTACACGAAACCGTTGACGATTTTTCCGCCGACAAAACGAAGAACGTCGTCCACAGGATCTTGCTGCCACAGAAACCACGCACGGAAAAACACGCAAAATTGCCGTTTTGGGAGACAGGATATGTGGCCTCTGCTGTAAACGTCTGTGGAAGAAGCGCAAAACAAGTTGGTACACAGATCGGTTGGCTGCCACACGGGAAAAGGTAGGAACTTTGCCGCGCGAACTTGGCAAAAAAAACGCAAAGGGGTTTGTCGGCTTGCATCGCAAACAATAATCTTTCTTTACACGAAACCGTTGACGATTTTTTCCGCCGACAAAACGAAAAACGTCGTCCACAGGATCTTGCTGCCGCAGAAACCACGCACGGAGAAACACACAAGTTCCCCTTTACACGGAACCATTGACGATTTTTCCGCAGACAAACCGAAGAACGTCGTCCACAGGATCTTGCTGCCGCGGAAACCACGCACGGAAGAACACACAACCTTCCCGCAACTGTTACAACATTGCTGCCTTGCAAGACAGGATACCGGATACCTGGCCTCTGCTGTAGACGTTTGTGGAAGAAGCACAAAAGAGGTTGGTTTACGGATCGGTTGGCTGTCGCACGGGGAAAAGTGGGAACTTTGCCGCGCAAACTTGGCGAAAAGAAGACCGCACGGGGGTGTGTCGGCTTACAACGCAAAATGAATATCGTTCCTTACACGGAACGACTGACGAATTTTTCCAGAGACCGAACGAAGAACTTCGTCCACAGGATCTTACTTCCGCAAAAACCACGCACGGATAACACACACACACACACAACTTTCCCGCAACTGAGTTAATCCGACCCTCAACAGCAGCACAACGATATTGGGGTAGGATCGCCGGGCAAGGCAAGGAAACCCGAAAGGGAAGCCCAGCCCGAAGAGGAACAGAAGCTGCAAGCGTACCTCTTTTCTCATTACTTGAGCCAAAGATCATGTCATTGGCACGTTAAGCTACACAGTCAGACATGTTACCTATACAAGGACAGGGAACGTCGTATTCGACCAACTAACTGTTACAACATTGTTGTTTTGCAAAACAGGATACCTGACTTTTGCTGTAGATGATTGCGGAAGAAGCACGAAGCAGGTTGGCATACGGATCGGTCGCCTGTCGGACGGAGCAAATTGGGAACTTTGCCGTGCAAACTTGGCAAAAAGAAGTGCGAAGAGGTTTGTCGGCTTCTAAGGCGAACGAAAATCTTCTTTTGCACGGAACCATTGACGATTTTTCCGCAGACCGAACGAAGAGCGTCGTCCACAGGATTGCAGCAGAAACCACGCACGGAAAACACGCAACTGTTACAGCATTGCTGCCTTGCAAGACAGGATACCGGATACTTGGCCTCAGCTGTAGACGTTTGTGGCAGACCAGGCGCCCAGAAAGGAAACATTAAGGGAACCCAGCGGGAGCTCAGGCCCTCTGCTGCGGCCCGCCCGTCCAACCCAGGAGCCCAGAAAGGGAACAGGAAGGAAACCCAATTGGCAGCCCAATCCCTTTGCCGCGGCCCACCCATCCAATCCAGGAGCCCAGAACGGAAACATGAAGGGAGGTAAACGGGATTGCCGCGGCCCAAGGAAACATGACGGGAGCCCAACGGGAGTCCAGGTCCAACCCAGCAGCCCAAAAAGGAAACATGAAGGGAGCCCAATAAAGCCCAGGTCCTTTGCCGCAGCCCACCCGAAGTGAATGGGAGCCCAGGTCCTTCGCCGCGGCCCACCCGTCCAACACCCAGAACCCCAGAAAGGAAACATGAAGGGAACCCAATAAAGCCCAGGTCCTTTGCCGCGGCCCACCCGTCCAACCCAGGAGCCCAGAAAGGAAACATGAAGGGAAGTGAATGGGAGCCCAGGTCCTTTGCCGCGGCCCACCCGTCCAACCCAGGAGCCCAGAAAGGAAACATGAAGGGAAGTGAATGGGAGCCCAGGTCCTTCGCCGCTCCAACCCAGGAGCCTAGAAAGGAAACATGAAGGGAGCCCAATAAAGCCCAGGTCCTTCGCCGCGGCCCACCCGTCCAACCCAGAACCCCAGAAAGGAAACATGAAGAGAAGTGAAGGGGAGCCCAGGTCCTTCGCCGCGTCCCACCCGTCCAACCCAGGAGCCCAGAAAGGAAACATGAAGGGAGCCCAATGGGAGCCCAGCCCGTTTGCCGCGGCCCAGGCATCCAACCCACCGCGGCCCACCTTTTTCTGAGGAGAGAACCCCAAACCGTACCTGTTTGGGGAAAAACAATGAACAATAGGGCTAACAGTGGAAAGTCAATGGTTTCCGCTTGTTTTCCACCATTTTCGCGAATTTTTCATTAAAATAGTGGAAACCGAGCGAAAACCATTGATTTTCATAGATTTTCAATTTTTTAATGTTTTCATTCTGTTTTCAATAATTTTCCAATATCTTAATAAAGAAAATCAATGAACACTTAGTGACAAGGGAAAAATTGAAAATAATACAAGTGGAGTTTATTGATTTTCATCGTTTTTTGTATTATTTGCATTGTGTTTCCTCGAGCTTTTGCTGCGCGCCTTAATGTTTCGTTTTTAAATTGAAAAATAATGAAAAAGAAGGAGCAGTGACAACTTTTAATAACTTCCTGAATGAAAACAATGAAAAAAGAACCAGATCACTGTAAAATCACTTATCACTAATGAGTTCACAATTCAGATCAGTATTCAATCACTCATTTAGTGGCTCGATAAATCCAAATCACCAATTAACTCACCAATCATATCACTATTAAATCACTAATCTAGTGATTCGATAAATCCAAATCACTAATTCATTCAGAAATCAGATCACTAATTAATTACACAAAAAAATTCAAGTATTTCCAACGCTTGCCAGCCCCTGCCAACCTTAAGGCAAGTTCTTGAGCAATGCAGATGTGTAGCAGCTTAGGTCAGGGTCTGCTGCTGATGATCCCGAACATGTACAAGATCGCGGGCGAGTTGCTGCCGTGTGTCATGCACGTCGCCGCACGGGCTCTGGCAGGACAGGCCTTGTCCATCTTCGGGGACCACAGCGATGTGATGGCCTGCCGCTCGACCGGTTGGGCCATGCTGGCGTCCGAGTCGGTGGAAATGGCGCAGGTGAATGCTATTGTTGCCCACCTTGTGTCCATGGAGCGACGGGTCCCAGTGCAGCACTTCTTTGATGGGTTCCGCACCAGCCACGAAGTAAACAAGATCAAGCTCATCGACTACAACACTATGAAGTCCTTCATCAATTGGGATGCTGTTAAGGAACATCATGACCTAGCAATGAATCCTCGCCACCCACATGTTCAGGGCACGTCGCAGGGTCCTGACATCTTCTTCCAGTGTGTCGAGGCGGGCAACACCTTCTATGATGGACTGGCAGATCTCTTTGAGGAGAAGGGCAAGCTGGTGCAAGAGCAGACCGGCTTGCACTTCGCTCTTTACGGCTATGAAGGGCATCCAGAGGCCAAGCACGTGATAGTGGTGATGGGCAGTGCCGCCGTGACTTGCGGAGAGACGGCCATGTTCTTGTCGCAGCACAAGGGGCAACGCGTCGGCGTGCTGAAGGTGCGTCTCTTCCGGCCCTGGGACAGCTCGCGGTTTCTGGCAGCCTTGCCAAAGACAACGGAGCGTATCTGCGTGCTGGATCGCACCAAGGAGCAGGGGTCCCAAGGAGAGCCGCTCTTGTTGGAGGTTGCCTCGATGCTGCATGCCAGTGCTCACCCGGAGATCGTCGTCGTCGGAGGCCGCTATGGGCTGGGCTCGAAAGAGTTCACGCCCAACATGGTGCTGTCCGTCTTCGAGAATCTCGCCAAAGACAGCCCGAAGCCGAGATTCGTCGTGGGCATCGAAGACGATGTGACGCACCTGTCTTTGCCGGTGGGCCCATGGCTCAATGTGCTTCCAGAGGGCACCACGGAGTGCATGTTCTATGGGCTTGGCAGTGATGGTACCGTCGGGGCAAACAAGAGCGCCGTGAAGATGATTGCCCTGGGAACCGAGCTCCATGCGCAGGCCCGGCCGAGTCTCTCCCTCCCTTTTTGCTCGCTCTCTCTCTCACTCTCTCTCTCGCTTGCCGCACTCTGTGCTTCTCTCTCCCTCTGGTTCTGGCTCTCTCTCTCTCTCTCTGTGTCTATTTCGGTCTGGCTTTCGCACTCACTCACTCACTCCCTCTCCCAGTCACTCACTCACAGACTCGCTCACTCACAGACTCACTTCATTCCATCACGAGAGTCTCCCTCCCTCTCTCACATTCTGGCATCCCCCGAAGGCATACTTCGAGTATGACGCCAAGAAGAGCGGCGGCGTGACCATCAGCCACCTGAGGTTCGGGCCGAAGCCCATTCACGCTCCCTACAACGTCCGTGCTGCCGACTACATGGCCATCCACAAATCGAGCTACGTGCACAACTATGCTCCCTGCCAGACATGGAGTTCCTGTCAACTTGCATTGTTTCGTGTGCGCATGTGCTCGGAGCTGGAGATTTGAATTCGGGCTTCTTGTTGCCAGTTCTACGGATCTGATAGGACTGTGGCATCCTGCTGTCCGCACTTCAAACTGATTCAAAAGTGTTCTAAGGAAACGAGCATCCTGCTATCGCTTTTTCAAAAATTCAAAAAGTTCTAAGGACATGACCCGTTACCTTAAGCAGAACGCCGTCTGCGTGATCAACTGCTCCTGGGACGTGAAGGAGTTGGAGCAGCAGCTGCCTGCCAAGATGCGGCGCGATCTTGCAGAGAAGAAGGTCCGGGTGATTGCAGAATCAGTCTGGACTCAACTGGCTCTGACTAGCTTCCTAGTCCTAGTCCCGATCTTCTGGGAGTGCGGGATGAACTGGAGTGAAGTTTGAAGGCAAAGCTGTTCATCATTGATGCCACCAAGATTGCTGTCAAGGCACAAGGGACAAGTAACAAAAGCTCCGTGGCACAGCCAATACTGCTGATGTCGATTTCTAGAGAAGGCCTTCAGCTATCAAAAAATCCGACAGGCCGGACTGGGCAAGCGCATCAACATGATCATGCAAACCGTCTTCTTCAAGCTGAGTGGCCGCCTTAGATGCATGCGAAATCCTTCATCGGTCTAGAGATCTGCATCGCGCAGCCCAGTTGCTTGAAGGTGCCGTCATGCCGTACGAGGAGGCCGTGGAGATGCTGAAGAAGAGCATCAAAAAGATGTATGGCAAGAAGGCGCGGTCGTGAGAATGGGGATGTGGGTTGATCGGCAAGCTCTGGCGTGTCCAAACCGGCAGGGCGACAAAGTGGTGAAGATGAACATCGATGGGGTCGATGCTTCAATTGCTGGCATCGTGGAATGCGAAGTTCCACCTGCTTGGGCGTCCCTGGCAGTCGACACGGAGGCTCGTGCATCCAGTGCATCTCTTGCATCGAACTGCAGGTGATATCTGTTTTCCAGGGAAGTCTGATCACAGTCATCAAAGATGAGCTAGAATTAGAACCCAGCTAGAAGTTACATTGTAATTTCTCGACAGGCTTCCGATGCCAAGACCAGCATTGTCGCCTATGCCAAGGGACCTCGCATGTTCCCGGAAGTGCAGAATGCCTCGCAGTTTGCCGCGCAAGTGCAGAAACCTTGCAACAATCTGGATGGTAACTCTCTTCCTGTGAGCGCCTTTGTGCCCGGTGGCCGCGTGCCATGTGGTACCAGTCAGTACGAGAAGCGTGGCATTGCCATCCAGGTGCCTACGGTAGACATGGACAAGTGCACGCAGTGCAACAAGTGCAGTCTGATCTGCCCCCATGCAGCTGTGAGACCATTCCTGATGACCTCTCAAGAGCTTGGGAAAGCACCGGCATCGTTCAAGGAAGGCAGTCGTTCTGCCATCGGAGGAGGTGTGTTGGATAACTACCAGTACCGCATTCAGGTGTCGCCTTGGGACTGCACTGGCTGCGAGCTTTGCGTGCGCATTTGCCCCGCGGATGCACTTACCTTGGGTCCGGCCGAGAAGGTCATTCAGGAAGAGGAGGCCAACTGGAACTTCGCCGTGGCGCTACCAGACCGCGGCGACGAAATTGACAAGACGACGGTCAAGGGCTCTCAGTTTCAGAAACCATACCTTGAATTCTCAGGGGCGTGCGAGGGCTGTGGCGAGACGCCGCACGTGAAGCTGATGACGCAGCTCTTCGGCGATCGACTTGTTATTGCCAATGCCACAGGCCAGAATCACAACCAGTCGGAGTCATAAAAAGTGTGCTGTTGTCAGTCTCTTGTGTTACTCGTAGTAATTACATGTAATTACTACGTTGGCAGGCTGCTCCTCCATCTGGGGTGGCTCCAACCCATCCTTCCCGTACACGACAAACAACAAGGGAGAGGGCCCCGCCTGGGCCAACTCCTTGTTCGAAGACAATGCTGAGTTCGGCTTCGGCATGCGCAAGGTTCGCCCGCGGCAATACGGTGCCACGTGCTGACAGGCACCTGTTGAATGTGTTTAGCTAGGCCTTCAAGCAGCGCCGCGACTACCTCGCAATGCAAGTGGAGGTCTGCACTCCGTTTGAGCTGAGAGCCCGGTCGGGTGTTTCCGGTCGCAGGCGGTTTCGTGCAGGCGTGTGTTGACCTGCAGGACACCTTGGCGGATAAGTCCGTGACGATGTCCGACGAACTTCGTCAGGCACTGCAGCAGTTCCTGGTGATGCGCAAGGACGCACATCCCCTGACCGTGTTGTCGAACTCGACCGCCACACGTGTTCTCGTATCGGGCAAGGAAAACATGTTTTTATTGTCGTCATCGCCAGGAGCAGATGCACGACCTCTTGCTGCCGAAGGGCCGCAGTGCCTCGTCTGTCCTTCCGGAACAGAATGGCTGGCTCTGGCGGCGTGCATAGTACCGGCGGCGCGTCGCTCGTCGCCGAGGCATCTACCATCAGATCATGGAGAAGCTCGTGCCGCTTTTGGAGAAGGACCTTCGTTTTGTGCTCATGATCACTGATCACTGGGCCAGTTAGACAGCTGGCGTTTTCAGGAAAAGGGCACGCATCCAAAGATCCACAACCTCTACGACTTGCCACTCGGTGAACCATGCAGGCACTGTCGTAACAGCCGACATCTGCGGTTCAATCTGTGGCGTCTGTACCGTCTCTACCTTGCATCTCTGATGCAGTAGTGTCAGTAGTGGCTGCAGCCAAGGGAAGACATGTTCGGCCGCAGCAGCTTCTGGATTGTTGGTGGAGACGGTTGGGCCTACGACATCGGGTACGGTGGCTTGGACCACGTAATTGCCAGCGAGGAGCACGTGAATATCCTCGTCCTTGACACGGAGATGTACAGCAACACGGGCGGTCAGGCGTCGAAGGCAACACCCAAGGGAGCGATGGCCAAGTTTGCCGAGGGCGGCAAGCTCACACAAAAGAAGGACCTGGGGCAGATGGCCATGACTTACAAGAACGTTTACGTCGCAAGCATCTGCGTTCACGTGAACCCTCAGCAAGCTGTGCGAGCTCTGATCGAGGCGGATGCCTATCCAGGCCCTAGCCTGATTCTGTCCTACACCCCATGCATTAGTCAAGGCTTCCCGATGGCGGAGTCAATCCAGCATTGCCAGATGGCCGTTGACAGCGGCTACTGGCCGCTCTACCGCTATAATCCCGAAGCTGCGGCGCACGGCAACAATCCCTTCCAGCTCGACAGCCGAAAGATCAAGGGCGACCTGTTCAAGCTCCTGGCAAAGGACGGGGGAGAGGGGCAAGAAATGCGAAGCCAGTCGCAGTGATTCAGATGCCATGCCCTGCCAAGTGATTGCATGCTGTGTGTGATGAGCAGTGCCGCTCTCAGGAGAACCGCTTCGCAGCAGTGATGCGTCGCGACCCGAAGCACGCCGAGGAGTTGGACAACAAGCTGCAAGAAAATGTGGTGCAGAAGAATCACCTGCTGCAGGTCCTGAACAAAGAGGACTTGGAAGGGCAGTTCTCCAAGTTGGTCGAAGGTCTGTCGGATGCGAAGAGCTCGGGTGACTCTATCACGGTGCTATATGGCAGTGAGACCGGCAATGCGGAGGAGCAGGCGAAGAATCTGATGCAAGACCTCATTGCACGCGGACTGAAATCCACTGTGAGCTCGTTGGATGACTTCGAGTTCGAGGAGCTGCCAAACCAGAAGATTGTCATCTTGGTGGTGTCCACGTGCGGACTGGGCGAATATCCGGCCAACTGCAAGCAGACCTGGCTCAAGCTCCAGTCTCCGGATCTGCCAATGTCCTGGCTGGCAGGCGTGAAGTTCTGCGTCTTCGGCCTGGGCGACTCCACCTACAGCCAGTTCTGTGTGGCTGCTGCCGGCTTCGACACCCGCTTCGGCGAGCTCGGCGGGCAGCGCATGCTGAAGCGCGGCGTGGGCGACGACCGTGATGAGGACAGGTACTACACTGGTTGGGAGGCCTGGCTGCCGGAGCTGTGGAAGGTTCTCGGGGCTCCGGCTTTGCCGCTGAGCCAAGACATCCCTGCGCCTTCCTATCGAGTGGATGCATCCGCAGGCGACGTGGCAAAGCCACCCATCAGCGATGATGACATCATCCCGCCCGGTGCCAACAGACTCACGCTGCTCACCAACAACGTGCTGACAGGGGATGCCAAGTACGATCGTGACATTCGGCATTATGAGTTCAAGATTGAAGGCACCAACGTTGCGTACAAGACAGGCGAGAGCCTTGCCATCTGGCCCCGCAACCCGGAAGACAAGGTCCTGGAATTCTGTGAGATGATGGGCTTCGATGCCGGGCAGCACCTGCGGATCCTGCCGCTCGAGGGTGCCCGCAACTGGTGTCCTACGGAGCTGAGCGTGCGCCAGCTTTTCTCCCACGTCTTGGACATCTTCGGAAAGCCGAACAGGAAATTCTTCCAGACGTTGGCTCTCTTCGCAAAGGATGAGGCCGAGAAGAAGCAGCTCCAAAGCATCGTCGAGAACAGCCAGGAGGGTGCGGCTCTCTACCGGGACTTGACACACGACTTCGCACACCATGCAGATGTGCTGAAGAAGTTTGCTAGTGCACGACCCCCCATCGAGCACTTGCTTCAAATGATGCCAGTCCTGAAGCCCCGCAGCTATTCGATTGCCAGCTCGCCGTTGATGCATCCGGACAAGATCCAGCTTTGCGTGGTGTTGGTGGACTGGACGGTGGAGAGCACCAAAGAGCTCCGCCTTGGCGAGTGCACAGGCCAGGAGTTTCTGATAAACAAGGTCACGGAGTTCCGGTTGAGGGTTAGGGGCTTCTTTGTTTTCGGGTTTAAGGGTTTGGGGTTTCAAGGTTTTAGGCTTAGGGTTAAGGGGTTTCGGGTTTTGGGGTATGGTCCGTGGGCACTCCCAAATAACAGAAGCTATACAAACCTGTAGAGGCGTGGAGACGCCCGGGGGGAACCCTTCCAAGCGATACCCTGTGGTCCCTAAACCCTGAGCCCAAACACCCTGAAGACCCTTGAGATCTGTCTCTTGCACACCCGCGACTTTGCAAGTCTTTGAGTCCGAGCTTCTTGCGCACTTGAGAAGTTCAGCGTTCGTACGCCAGGCTACATGCAGCTGCAGAAGCCGGGAGCACAGATCATGTGCGCCGTGCGATCGAGCGCCATTGTGCTGCCCAAGGATGCCACGGCTGCAATCATGAGGGTACCTCGAGTTGAGTTGTGAGAGCTGAAGTTGCTAGGAGCCAGAGAAGCCTGTCATCATGGCCGGCATGGGCACAGGATTGGCCCCGTGGCGTGCTGTCACGCAGGAGCTTTTGATGACGTTTCATTCTATGAGCAAGAGCAAACTTGCTGGTCTGATGTTGCCAGGAGCGAGTGATGCAAGCCAGGCAAGGGCTCAAAGTTGGCAAGTGCATGCTGTTCTTTGGGGCCCGGTACAAGCAGGAGCTTCGTAGAGGGCGCTCCATTTATGCCGTGGCATTTTTGCCGGAGCTGTTGATGGCCGTTGTGTTTTTGCAGGAGTGGCTCTACAGAGAAGAATTTGAGAGCTACGAGAAGGAGGGCGTGTTGCAAATGCACACGGCCTTCTCGCGTGAGCAGGCTAGTGACGGCTAGTAGTGCTCCAGGCACGTTGGCATTTGAGCCATGTCGTAGATTCCCAGACGAGGCACGCAAAATCTACGTTCAGCACAGAATAGTGGAGGCAGCTCCAGTGCTTGGATTGGCCTTGCTTTGCAAAGTGTTTTCCAAATTGTGTTTGCATTGCCCGTCTCCGGAAGGCGGGAGCCGACGTCGCAGAGAGGATGTTGAATCAGGGTGGCCATTTCTACGTCTGCGGATCTGCACGACAAGTGCCCGAAGATATCTACACTGCCATGAAGGAGGCCTCCCTTGGGCTGTTGGGGGGCTCGGGCTTCGAGATGCTTCGAGCTTGAGCTTGTTGTAGCTTTCAGGTGATGATGGCGCACGAGCGGTGTGCTGAAGAAGATGCGGAAGCAATACTCTCCAATCTCAAGATGGAGGGCCGTTGCTTGTCGACAGAAGTCGTGAGTCGTGCGTGTCTTCGTTTCTACTTCTCTTCGTTCACAGCCTTTATCGAGTGCTGTTGCAGCAGATCAGAAGCAACCTGCAGGTTACACCGTCGAAGCTTGGTCGTGAGTTTGAAGCCTCGTGCATCCGCATGCACGAGCGTTCGTTTCATGTTTCGAGCCCCTGTCGAGGAACTTTTGGCTCGCAGGGGTTCCAGCAGCATTTTTTTTTAGTGCTGCTAGGGCTCTTTCGGGCCCACCAACTTTCTAAAGAGACTGCATGCTGTGCCTGCCGGGCAACGCTTCAGTTTTGCGGCAGAAGCCAGGGGTCCCGCAGCTCTTCAGCCAACCAATTTCAAAGTACTGAAACTGAGTTTTGGCACCGCCGAAGCTGCTAGCCGGTCCCCGTCGGTGCTGCCGTGGAGTCACAGTTCAACCCCTGCCGGGTGACAGTTGGCTCCCCCATCGATGCTCATATCGAGAAAATTGGTACCATGGCAACCAAGGGGCAGGCCGTAGACTTGCAGTTCCTGTTGTTATCAGGGCTACTGTGCTGCGATAAATGCGACTTCCCCGACCATGCTCTACTCCGGTACTCTGACTGCCATGCCTAAACGCTGATACTCCTGTTAGTTGTTCTTGGTGCGGCGAATCGTACTCGCGCGTCGCACAAGGATGTGAAGGATGTGTACCAGCGATCTCGGCTTTACTACAAATCCCGCCGTTGCGCGGTTGCCATCACTGCTGAAGCATCACTCGCTAAACTCTGACAAGCTACGTGGGCATGTGCCGTTTCTATCGCTCTGATTGCCTGCGACTGATACCACGGTATCCATGAGAAACGACTCGCTCATGGTACTGTTCTTCACAACCAGACAGCTGGGTAGTCGTAATGGTAAGCAGTAGCAGTAGAAGTAGCAACAAGAGAAACAGCTGAAGTAGTGGTCATATTTACGGAGCTAGCATCAGTGGCAACAGCAGCACTGAGGGTAGAAATAGCGACAATGCCCGATGATGATTATGATGATGACGATCATGATCATGACCATGTTCATGATGATAATGATGATGATCTTGTTTCTTTGGGCCTGTCTTCTACGGAAGGTTGAATACGAAACTCTTCCAGGATCTTCATACTGTCAGGCATGTTGCTGTCTCCTCAGTGCTCAAAACTGGTGGGCAAACAAAGCTGCCAGACAGACATCGGGTGATCGTAGAACTGTAGAGTCAGACCGGTTGCCATGGCCCTCTCTTTGCGATTCCTATCTCAGGCCTCCAAGAACATCGTGGCTCATGCGCCATCGCCGAGGGCTGTGCGCACGCCCATCACGCCGAAGACCCCAAAGACACCGAAGTCACCCCAGTCGCCTTTGAGTCCTCTGAGCACGACCTGCTCTGGCTTGAGCTTCTTCCCTGTAGAAGAGGCCAAGCGAGCTCCCAAGACTGCTCGTCGGTCTGTGCATTTTGCCGACGAGAGCGGAACTTGGGTCGGCAATGCGAGCAGCTTGCTCAGTGCCAAAGGCTTCGGCCGCTTGGGCGGCATGGGAAAATTCCAGCCTGAAGCCCGTGCCCAAGCTACCCTGGACCATAGCGTCCAGGAGGAGGATCCCATGGCTCTGGCCACGGCCACACGCGCCGCGGTGTTGGCGCGTAAGGCGCGACAGGAAGATCGCTGCGTGCCAACTCCGCGTGTTGCGCTGGAGCCGACCTTCCCGGTCCTGCTTGGTAGGCGTCCCTCTGTGGGCTTGCCCATGAAATCGCCTTTGAGCTTCCTCAATGAAGAGTCCTGTGCACATGCAGCACGCCAAGCTTTCATGGAGCAGCAGGAGCGCAGGGCTAGCAGAGCCATGGTGGACTTCGTGGTGTAAGCGAAGTGAGCAATCAGTGCCCAGAGCAGCTTCTGCCCAGAGGTAGCCAGGGCTGCTACTTTTAAAGTGAACATGTCCTCAACGGCTGGTGCGTTCTGTGAGGCGATTGTACAGACTTCTCAAAAGCACGAGTGAGCCTCGAGAGCCATCAGCATAGAACTCAGAAGTAGGTCTCATGAGCGTCAAGGTCTGCGGAGAGCCAGTCACGGCACTGACTCGACTTCATGTCTGTTTCGTCGTTGTAGCCGACAGATGAGCTTCTACTGAGCCTCTGCAGTCCCTGAGCTGTGCATAGAGCTGAAGACCGGAGCTGGGGCGCAGAGTCGCTTCCAGCTCGTGGCTTCGGCACCCCTTTACATCTTCTTCGAAGCTTCTGGATCTGCACTGAAAAAAAGACTGTCGACAGATCTGCCAAGCTTTCAACTGCTGGGGGGCTCTGCAGGGACCGCCAGCATCTGTAGCCGGGTTATGGACTACCAGAGGTCCGTCCTTGCAGGCATGCCGTGGTGTATCCTCCTCAACACATGCTACCATAGAAGCTTAGGCCAGGAGCCATCTCGCTAGAGACTTGTGATGCCCTGCCGATGCATGTGGCTCACTGGATGAAAGTTAGTTGGGACAGAACAAGCTACAGCACAGTCTTCAAACCCGAGTTATGGTAGGCTTTTCCGTTCTGCATTCAGCTGTGAAGAACCCACGCAAAGTCGGCATTCTGCCGCCGCAGTACACTCGGCAGACCTCGCTTGGGCCGGATGTGTGCGACATGCCGGAAACGAGAGCATATGCTCTCCTGGAGGAAGGAAGGCCCGTCTACCTTTCGACAGAATGTGACTAGCTGCTTTAGTCACGGCATGATCCCAGTGGCTGAAGCACTGTACCTCAGGCTTAAATCCAGTGTTTTTCGCTTCACCAGCTCTTGTGGAAGCGTTTGCAATCCAAGCGTGCAGTGTCATCCTAGCCCGACGCAAACTTCCAAGTATTCCAGTTCACATAGATAAAGCCTCTCTAACCGAGTGGGTTAGTATAGATAAAGCTTCTAACCGAGTGGGTTTATTATTGTTGTTATTATTATGAACAGTAGTAGTGGTAATAGTAGTAATGATAGTAATGGTAGTAATAGTAGTAATAGGTCGGCTTATTAGCCAGGCGGACTATCGAGGAGTCCCAAGCTGCCCCACGCGGCTGGCATGATCGGTCGGGGCCTCTTCGCCTGATTTGCAGAGAGTTGATCACGAAAGCTCCACCGAGAGAAGACAGAGAATTCAGGGGGGGGGGGGGAAGGGATGTTTGTTTTTTGAGCTCCCCCCACCCGTGGCTGGCCAGGACCGTGTTTGCTCGGAGGCTGTTGGGGAGTCTTCCGGTGACCTCTTTCGGGGCAGGGCTTCGGTGGGAGAACCAGCCCCTGATACTGTCGATGCTGGCGCCAGAGGCGCTCCTGCTTCAAGGTCCTGTGCACTTCTTGGACAGCATTGTGTGGATTCTTGTGAGAGTAGTTCATTTGTTTGTATGCATGTGTGTAATTATGTATATTATGTATGTATCTGCGTATGTTTGAACAGTATCTTTCTGTATCTGTCTGTCCGTGTGTCGGTCGCTGTCTGTCTGTCTGTCTGTCTGTCTGTCTGTCTGTCTGTCTGTCAGTTCGTCTTTCTGTGATATGTGTGTTTGCATGTCTGCCGCTCCGAGTCGTGTTTCAGGAGCCCACTAGAGCTTTCGTCCCAGCCCGCGGCTCTCAAGTGCTGGCACGCCCATGCTGCACTGATGCGGGAAGGAAGCAGGCCCCACCTGTGCCACGCGCACAGGCTTGCAGCCCTTGCGTATAGTTACTTGCCGAAGTTGGGTGCAATCAAACGAAGACAAGTCTTCAAGATGTTTGCACTGAGAGAGCACTGGGACCCAGGGAAGCCAGCAGCACGAGCTCCAGGGCGTTGTGTAGGTGTCAAAAATACTCAGAGGCCCAGATTGGGAAGCTGGGCCTCCAGAAGGGCAGCTGGCATGGGCCCCGTGGCCACCAAAGGAACCGGCTGCTTGTTCCCCAGGGCCCCTGGCGTGGAGTGGGTGGATCTTCAGATCTGTCCCCAGGCCTTCAACAACTGCCGATATGAGGCATGCATGAGTTGGGTGGGAGCTGGGGAGGCAAGGGGAGCACAGCAAGCTAGTCTATTGGTTGCCACAAGTCAGGCGAAAGAGACATGTCAGAAAGTTCCTCCCCAGGAAGTGGCCTGACGGTGAAGTCCCGGAGAAGATAAAGAAGCAAGGGGCTGAGTTTGCGGAGCCACATGTACTTCTGCTGCTCCTGGCAACATGTCGTAGTACTATTGTGACGCTAGTCGTAGTGGGGGGATACTAGCAAGAAAGCCACTACTGCGCATCTTGGACGCAAGACCCACGTAAATGTTGGGATCTGCAGTTTCAATTGGATCGCAAGACATTTGTCAGCCATCAAAGGTCAAACCTGTCCCCGTATTTCTTGGGCCTTGATGCTTGAAGCACTGCAAAAAATCAACATGCTAAACAGTGGAATGCCACGGTAAAAGCTTCATAGGGTTGTACACGTTTATCGTGGTGCCTGAGGATTGCAGGATGGAAGCGTGCCATGAAGGACCGAAGTGGTGCAGGCACGTCGTGCCGCTTGCTGTGTGGCCTCGGGCTCATGTGCAGGATTTCATGAACCAAGACGCCAAGCTGAATGACTTGGTTGCCTTGTTGGATGCTCGGATCCTGCTCAGAATCAGACTTCATGTTGATGCACCGGGCATGCTTGGCCCGGTGGAGACAATCGAAGATCGAAGACACAAGTTTGTTCAAATCAAGCGTCAAGGGTGAGTTGCACCACCATGTCACCGTGACCAGGTTCACTCAGAAGTTCGTGCAGCTCGGGCAGAGCCGAAACTTCACCCTGAGCACCTTGATGGTACGCCCCCACCCTTCCGTTGTGGGGTCACAAGATAGCGGGGTGGTGAAGCTTAAGGCTGCAGTAGCACGGCTTTGTGCTGCAGGACATGGCCTGGACGGTTTTGATCCTGACCTGGGAGGCTGAACATTGCAACTCTCGCCATCACAAGTTTTGAATTCTTCTCAGCATCTACGAATCTACTCAGGCGGTGGTGAACGAGAAATTGCCAATGATGGAAGAGGTGGAGCGAGGCTTTAAAGAGAAGTACGAGGACGGACAGCTGCAGCAAGGGATCTCTGAGTTGGGGATTCCGGATTCCCACTGTCCGCAGGACCTGATGAAGGCGATGATGGAAGTGCGCAGGCC